TCACATTAGAATCGGAATCAGAATCAGAATATCGACTCGCGACAGAGTATATCATGTTGAAGGATTCACATATCACATCAGAATTGGAACTAGAACAGAATTTCAATTCACGACAGAGCGTATCATGTTGGAGGATTCACATATCACATATCACATAAGAACATAGAGGGATCACATATCAGAACCAGAATCACAATCAGAATAGAACCAGAATTCAGAATAACTCCCAACATAGATTTTCATAAAATAGTTATAATAGAGGTATAAATTTCAATTAAACATCTATTTTCAAACAACTCACTGTAATTTCAAAATAAACGAATACCTGTCCCAATTTTATCATTTTCAAAATAGAAAATCTTATCACAACAAGCATTTCATAACCAGAATAAAATAAACATGCATAGAATAAGTATTATCACTCACAGTACAAAAACCAATCCAATAAGGAAGTCTTGAGTCACCCTCACTAGACTCACTGGTCAGGGTACACCTTTGCCGATGTATCTATAATCCAAAACCACACAAAATCATCATCGACATCAAAACCAGCACAAAAAAATGGCTTGACAACCTAAATAGAGCCAAATCCCATCCTAGCACCTTGACACGTATTTTGAGGCACCACAACCCATTATCGGGATCCACACGACTCGCAACTCTCATTAATTTTACTCAACAACTCTTAAATAATAATGAACTAACCTCCAAAACCCTCAATTCAAAGTGAACTAGTTTTCAAAACCCTCGAACCGCCCGAAACTGGCCTAAAAACTACCTCAAATCAAACTGATTTGGCCACGAAACTCTCAAAATTAGATTTAGAAAGCCCAAAAACCCTAGGAACTATTGTGAACTGGTCAAGAATTGGCCAAAATAAGTTGAACTGGATAATTAACCCCTAAATCATCTTGAACCCGGCCAGTTCAATAAAAAACACTAAATTCTAGTCAAACCGAACCTCCCCGAACCCCCAGACCAACTCGATCTAATATATCTTTTCTTTTTGATTCCAGAACCGATTCAACTTCCCAATTTCGAGTTCATTTGATCACTGAACTGACCGGTCAAACCAATTGATCGGTTCAACCAACTTTTTTCTTCTTTTTTTTTTATATATTAAACCAGCTTGGCTTGGCTCAGCTCACAGCTCGCTAGGCTCGACTCAGCTCGACTACTAGCTCGGGTTGTGGCCTAGTGGCTAACCTGGTTCTTCAGCTTGGGCTAGGCCTAAGCCCAAACCCCCTTTCTCTCTTTTTTTTTTTGGGTTGGCTCGCAGGCTCCTCTTGCGTGGCCTGTCCAGCACAGCCCGCGTGGCCTACATGGCCAGTGTGGCCATGTGGCTTGCGGCCAATCTAAGCCTTATGGCCTGGACAGCTACACATGGGGACCTGGATCATTCGAGTTCCTTCTTCTTGACCCAGCCGCTCGAGTTAGTAGACCCAGTTTGGAGAAACTGGGTCTATGATGACCCAATATGGAAAATAACATAGAAAAATAGAAAAAACAAATCAAAAACACACTCACCTTGATCAGTTTGTCCTTTGAAATCACGAAACCCAACTAGCCGATCCTCAAGCAAGTTTTAATTGGATTAAAAGTAACTTTTCTGGCTTAATTTGCCTTAAATCGATTGGAAGGGGCGGATGGACACTGACGGAAAAAATTGAGCAATTAGAGCACTTCGGGACAACTTTTTTTGAAATTGATCGATAGCTTTTGTTTGTTTTGAGCTGACAGTCTTGGATATATACACAATTTGTCGAACAAAATCCACACTCCACGTGAATCCTCAACCAAAATGTCGGCATGCATTCTACCATTGTTGACTTACAATCAAGTCCCCGAACTATTTAATTTGTTACAATCAAGTCCCTGAGCTCTTAACAGAATTTGATCTAGTTCCTGTCAATTTTATTTTAGTCCCTGAAACTTTCAATTTCTTCAATTAAGCCCTTAATCTTTTGAAATTAACCTCAAATCTTTTTATTCTTTCAATTAAGCCGTGGCGCTATAAAATTAACTTAAAAATTTTATAAAAATCTGGGATATTACAGCTTTCAAGTTTTCTTTTTTTTTTTCGGTTTTCAAAAACTGATAAATGAAATTAAAAGAACATAAATTAAAGCTTCTCACAAACTCTTCTACGAATTGAGTTAAATTGGTTTCTAAGACTTGTTTATTACCTATTTATTTGAAAATTCAAATAATCTTGAGTTTCAACTTTCAAAAGGACACTTACCTTATCTTTGGTGAGAAAAAGGAATGCGATTTGGACTTGCAACTTTATGAATTTTAAATCCAAATCCTATTTTAGTATTTGACAAAAAATAAAATATGATATTTATAAATTCTATTTAATATTTGAAAATAAATGAGATTTGAAATTAAAAATAAGATTTTTACTATTCTAACATTTGAACAATTATTTTGATAAGAAATTTAAAGGGTGGGTACCAATTCTAAATTCTCAAATATATGATCACGGGTGAGGAATGACAATTATAAATTAAAGAAAGCAGTAGATTAAAATAAAAAATATTTAATTTGAGAATAAATCGATTGGTGATAGATGTAAATGGAAAAAATTCAAATAAAGTAAAAAAAATTATAAATCCAAATCAATTAAATAAAATATATATATATATATATAGAGAGAGAGAGAGAGAGAGAGAGAGAGATCCTCGAAGCAGGGAACATTTTCTCCAGGACCCAGTTATTTGTTTTGGCTTTTTAGTTTAATAAAAAATACTAATAAAAGAGATAAATTTGAAAAAATAATTTTTTAAATCTAAATTCTATAAAATCATATTAATTTTGATAAGATTTTATGAAAATTTGAAAATTAAATAAAATCTTATCAAATCTCATAAAATCTAAATTCTATTTTTTTATTTTTTTTTCTAAATGATAAAAATAAAATTTAAAAATCTAAATTCAACCCCCATCAAATCTTGCATTTGCCAATGCAGGGTTTAAGAGTATAAATCATCTGGTAATCAGTAATTTCAAATGTTTTACATATATTATTTAATAATTCATAAAAAAAAAAACTTGGTAAAGTGTGACTTCTGGAATTTTCCCGAACTGTTGCCCATTTTATGAAGTCTGGTGCTCTGTAATCAATTACTAAGAAAATATCTCACCAGAAATTGAGAAAAAAAAATAACATAGAAGAAAAATGATTCTGAACCATTTTTCTTCCTCTTTCTTGGTCCTTATTTGCAAAACCTCTCTCTCTCTCTCTCTCTCTCTCTCTCTCTCTCGGGTCAGACCTAATATACATCGTCAAAATGGACGGGGCGGTCGGTGGACCTCAGTATTGACTAACTTGGGCCGGACACCTATATTGCAGGCCCGCAGTCCACTCAGAAGAAACATATGCTACAAGCCTTTAAATGCACGTGCCCTTTTTTTAATAGAGAATGTTTGTATATATTTTGGGCAGACAAATGTAACACATTCAGATACATTAAAAGTATACATTTATATTAAGAATAAGGCAACATAATTATTTATCTTACTATTTCTAAAACATAAAGTTATATATATATATATATATATATAGTTTATGAGAATGGACTAATTGACACTAGGTGTAAGTATAAAAACTTACACCACATATTACATTGTTGATTTGATCAAAATCAATAATGTGAATTAATTACAACTGATTTAAATATAAATTAATTACTGTAAGTTAGTGAAAGACAATTATAATTAATTTACACTGTTAATTTTGACCAAATCAACAGTATAAGATATGTAAATCTTTTATATTTACACCTGGTGTCAATTGATCTCTTCTCATATTCTATATATGCATAAATATAAAATACAAATATTTGGAGTACAGAAATTAAAGTATTGTGTTTTTTTTAAAATTTTTTCTGCCTTTTTGTTTTAAGTACACAAAACACAGATTTTAGAGTTGTAAATAGATTAAATTTAGATTAAATGAGATAAATTTGAATTCAAATCTGATTACCTATTTTTATATATCCAACTATGTCCAAGATCTCATAAGATTTATACATGTTAAACTATATATAAATCTAATGTATAATTTAAAATCTAATAAGAAATTCGATTTGAAAAGAAAATAATAGTTATTTACACTTAAATCTCTCAATTTTATTATGTTAACATACTAATCCCTAATTGTTCTAATTTTCTCAATTTAGTTTTTACAAGTTAGAATTTATTAATAATATATATGTATCTATATATATATGTGTGTGTGTGTGTGTGTGTGATTATTAATTTAGTAAAAAAATGTTATTAAAAGTTGAATTCGAATTTTTAATAGATCAGATTATTTAGTTTCATATTCGATGTATTTATTTTAAATTACAAATATTTCTAATCATATTTGATCTATTAAATCTTATTATTGGATTCGAGTTCTCAAATTTGAATCAAATTTAAATTACATTCAAATTAGAATTTATCTTATTCACAATGCTAACAATTTATAATACCTATTTGTTTTTATATCTTTATTTTTATTCTCTTTTTATCCGAATACTCAAAAACAACTCCTAAGTTCAATCTGTCAAATTCTATGAAAGAATTTTTATATGCACTTATTTTTCCTTCGAAAATCCAGAAGAAAAAAGAAATAGATGCTGTTAACTATTGCATACTTGGACGCACCATACAAAAGCAAGGGGCAAATGTGTACCGATTAGGATTACAAGGACCAAATAGAAATTTGTGGTAAAGTATAAGGGCTACTGGTGTAACTAATCCAATAAAATCCGGACTCCTGCAACCGAAGGTATCCGTTATGCCCATGCATGTAGTTAGTAACATTACATGTGAGCCTAAAATTAGATAAGAATCTAAAATTTCATCAAATTCCAACTTAAATTTTGAAAAAGATAATGTAGGATATATAAGAAAATCAAAATGGGATAAGAAGCAAAAACTAACCCCCTTTTCTCGTCCAAACACAGCACGCCATTGTCACTCTAAACTCCATTTCACTCTCCCCGTTCATGGCCAACTTTTGCCTTATCCTATGCGTTCTAGCAGCATCATGGGCAATAGTGGCGGCGGAACACCAAGGGAACTCGCCAGCACAGCCACCTGCGGCTGCGCCGGGCAGCGGAGATGTGAACTGCACGGGTTTGATATACAACATGGTGGACTGCGTACCGTACGTGGCGGTCGGAGGCAGTGACGAAGTGCCTGAGCCCTTGTGTTGTAATGGGCTGAAGGAGGTAGTGGAAACTGATGTGGACTGCGTTTGTGAGGCCTTGAAGAGCACCGCCGATCTGGGCATAGATGTAAATATGACGAGCGCTGAGGGCGTGGTTTCTGCATGTGGGCTTTCGGCTTCTCCCATCAGTGCTTGCAACCGTAAGTAATCCTCCAATTTCAGTCTCTTTTAGTCCACTCTTTAAAAAAAAATGTTAAATATTATTTGGTTCTTAACTTCCTTCTAGCTTGTGACTTTTATTTCTAAAGCAAAAAAAAAAAAAAAAACACAAATCTTGACTTATTTTTGGGTGTTTGCTTCATCTACGATGGGCCAACTCTTTCAAAAGAGGGAAAGAACCAAATTGTTATTATCCCTAGTTTTGTTTGGAGCTCTGAGAGCCCTAAGAGCTCCCAAAAGCTAGCTTAAAAGCCTTCTTTTCAAACTTCTGGACTCTTTCTTCCCCACCTATATTGTAGCAATAATTGCAGCTGTAGCAAGAGAAAGAGGCATTTTGGGTTATAAATGGTGATTTACTCTGGGATTGTTTTAATTAATCAAAAAAAATATCCCAAATGAGAAATGAAAAATGCCCTACATGCACTGACGGGTAAGCTTGGGGGCTGTTCCCTTCCCCCTCCCCCAAGTTCAAAAATTTGTAAAAAGGTTAATGTATAAAAATCATTCTTGTCCTCCCAAAAAAAAAATTTCAGCCCTCTAAAAAGAATAACTAATTTTTATATTAATTCTCACCCCTCCAGTATATAAATTCTGAATCCGTCAATGTCTATATAAAAGCTCTTCTAAAAAGCTTATAAAAGAGAGAATCCACGAGACACTTCCTTTCGGGGCTCTTGCAAGATTTTTATCTTTTAGGGGAGAAAAAACCTATAAAGAAGTCTCAAGCTATAAAAAGTAATAACAAATAAACAGAACCTTACTTTATCTCCCTTTCTGCAAATACATATAAACGAAACTCTTTTTGCCTGCGTGGTGCCTTTCCTTGTACTATTTTTCTATTTAATGTCGTAGATTTCTCAGTTCCTTAACATAGTTTCTTGCTTCTTGATCAATCCTAATAACAGAGTGGAATCATGAAAATGTTCAAATACGTGCATTGATAAAACAATTACATTAATTGATGATTCGTTAACGTATGATATTATACGTGTTCATGATGTGTTTCATCACACTAATTTGCTCTTCTCATTTATTTATTTAATATTATTTAAGTTTGAATCTTCAGTGATTGGTTATAGATATATAAAAAAATTACTTCATATATTTTAGATAACCCATCTCTATCAATTTTCATTTCACGCTAAGAGTAGATAGGTAGGGGGGGGGGGGGGGGGGAGGTGCCTTGCATCTTCTAAAGTTTTTATAAAAAAAGGCTCATAATTTGTAATTATCTTGATGTAAACGTTTCCAACACGAGGTTACAAAGAATACGCGAAAAAGTCGGATTTGCTGAAGGAAAGTTTGGTAAGTTACTCTTATTTGTTTTTCCGTTTTCATTTTTGCATTTTTTCCTTCTTAATTAAGTGAGCAAAGACAATTAAATAAATAATCTAAAGTTTCCATCATTCTATTTGAATAAGAAGAGTGATTTTACTCTGCATTATATAAAAGAATAGAGGGAAAGTGATAAGAAGTAGCAGACAGCCATTTACCCTCATTTTAAAATCACCATATCCCAAACAAATTTATGGAGATTTACCATATTTTTCACTTATTAAGGGAGATTTACCATTTCTTTCACTTACTAAGAGTGATGGAGCTACCAAGAGAATGATAATTTCCTTGTTACATGAGTCACTGCAGTACTCAACCCTCCAACAACCTCCCCACCTCCAATGTCAGATGGCATGTCACGATTCAGAAAAGTGGATCGTAATCGGTGCAAGAGTTAGAATAAATTTCAACCTCGCAAGCCTAATATATAACTTAACATGTATCTAAAATTTAGCAAATCATTTTCATATATCAGAAATCAGAATTTTAAACCAAAACATTTACATAATTTAGGGAGTTCGTAATCTTGAACGTAACATATATCGGAAAATAGAACGGCGATACACAGTCAGCTGATAATCAAGATGGCGACACACAGTCAGCCCATATAACAGAACAACGACACATAGTCAGCCCATATAACAAAATAGCGACATATTAATCTGCTCGGATAATAGGATGGCAACATATCAGTTTGCTCAGATAACAGAACAACAGCATATTAGCCATGCTAATAAATAGAAATCAAAAAGTCTAGCACCTTTACCCCTACTAGATGGGGACTTATACAGGGTGCAAATTAGTCTAACGTTGATAAACAGAAATTATATAGTCTAGTACCATCACCCCTGCTAGATGGGGACCCGTACAGAGTGCAAATTAATCTAACACGTATTGTCGTTAGTTGCAATGCTCTAAAATATGAAACTCCCTTAATAACAATTTTCCAGAATTAACAAAATAATTTAACAAATTTTCCATTTTTTAAAATGAACGAAAACCATTTAACAGAATCTTCCAGAATCAAATAGATATAGTTTAACCAAATTTTCATGTATAGAGTCAAACATAATTAAAAGATATTTTGTTCCAAACAATTTCAAAAATGCCACCCATGTCCCTTGTTTCACTTTTAAAACAAAAGTTAATCAAATTTTTCAGAAAACAGATATATCATTTAAAATCAGAATTTATAACAATTATGGAAAACAGTAAACGCTCATAAATACATATTATTACTCACAGAACGACAAAAACTGAGAAGTCCAATCTCTGACAATATGGGCTCAACAAGTATTTTACGGATAATCTAAAATCATAAAATAATAAAATGTCTCAATACATGTCTCTAATATATCCAGGAATCATATAAATATAATTCTTTAATTAAAATCTCGATTAAAATTCCAGATTTCTGTGCCCGAACCCATACCAAGGCCGCCAAAGTTCTAAACCGGTCAAATAAATCATAAACCGAGTGTCAAAATCATAAACCAATCTTATAAACATAAAACCCAATCTATTTGTTGTCAAAACTATCATTAAATGTACTGAACCGATCATAAACCGGCCACGAATCGGTCATTAGAAGGCCGAACCGGCTATGAATCAAACTTTAAATCACTGAACCGATCATATAACAATTTCTATCACCCTGAACCAGCCTTGAACTGGCTTTAAAAGGCACTAAACTGGCCCTTTATATGTTGAACAGGCCTGTTTGATGCTTAATTTCCCTTGAACCGGGCTTAAAACAAATCCATCTTCCTTAAACCGGCCTTAAAACCGATTAGTTTAATTATTAACCTATTTTAATGTGCTTTGAATTGAGAGAGAACCGGTCGGAATCCACGTGAATCGGCCGTTTTCTCCTTTACTATTTTTATTTATTTTTATTTCTATTTAATTGTTTCTGATCCAGATCCTAGATTCGGTTTCTCACCCAACCCATATTACACTCGGGTTTGCTTCGCAACCTGACGGCAAATTATCCAAAATTTGATCTTAGGTTCATAGAGTTACCTGGTGAATTTCTTCTGCAGATCGATTTGCTCACGATCAACGACTATCCTGTGCTTGATTCTGGACATTGATCTAGTCAATGGTGGAAGCAATTGAACAGCTTGATGTTCGTTGGTCTGTAAGTGCCCGAGAACGATTTTTTTTTTTTTGTATTGATTTATTGATTAGATGTAGAAATCTGTCAAATGGGGTGTGGGATTCTAAATAATAGAGCATCGAATTTCATACCCAAATACTTAAATCCAATAGGTTGTTTGTCTAATCGGATGAATTTGGAAACGTGGATCTTTGGGTGAAATCCCAGATCTGAATTGTTTTTGGGATTTCTTTGCAATTTGGTCCCTGGTCTTTTGATTTTTATACAATTTAGTCCCTAATAGTTCCAATTTACTTGATTAAGTCTCTATATTATTGAAATTACATAAATACCCCTAAATTAGGGGTATTACAGTTTTACCCCTTTTAAAAAATTCAGTCCCCAAATTTAAAATATAAAAGTATCAACTAATTTTACACCTCAACAGATAGGTGTACTTTGCACACCTCATTTTTTCTTTGATTCGTATGTCGCTTCTTTCATTGAGTGATATTTTAATAAAACTTTCGTGAATGCTATTTATCCAAATCTTAGCTTCATTCTTAAATCCCAAAAGCTTATATTTTTCAATTTTCAAATCCTAGCAACACAATCAGAGATTCAAAATTCCATTTATGTTTGCTCTTAGTTATCTCTGTACATGTTATCTTACATTTTCAATCTAGTACAAAGTCACTGGCATCTTTATGTTTAGTATTGACTAGAATCCACATTAATCCCCAAATCTCAAAAGCTGAGGTGGTTTGTTGGCACAAGTTTTGCTACCTATTACGTGCTTCAACTTGGTCTAACATTCAAAAAAAAAAAAAAAAATCACCTTGAGAAAATACTTCACATGAAATCATCAATTCCAAAAATATTCTCTCAATTTGGTCTCCATTTCTCGTAGAGTTTAGATTTTCAATTAAACTCAAGTCAACTCACCATCCCAAAAGAACTCAAGATGCAAAATCCAGTATAGTGCTTATGTCTCGAATTCTTGCTTTCTAAAACAATCACTTGCCTCCCAATAAGACTTGTATAAAACAATTCTTTGCTATGTCATACAAGTAAACCAATATTCTCTAATACCAAGAATCAAATTTGAGTTAAACATTAAGTTGTATATATAGAATATCTAATAAACAAAACTATGCTTCAACTTAGATAAAAGATAGCACTACAATATGATTTATATTAATGTGGTATCCATAACCATGAGAACATAATTACGAGTTTAATACTTGAAACAACCGCTTCACACCTCAAATTAATATCAAAATCTACAAGTAGTTTATAAATTGAGTACTCAATATCATTAGTCTCTAAAAAATAGAATGCACTACAATTCGTAAATCTAACAAAGAATTATTTCACGTTATCCTTAGTCATTTTATTACATTTCCTGAATATTTTGTCTTGCTCATAATATTGGTCAATGTTCAAACCTTAGGAATTATGCTAATACAATCACCTAATAAAATCCCCTTAATCTCTTAAATTGCTCAAAATCTCTCCAAATATTAAGTAATTCCCACATCTGTAATTTCTAGCTA